GGAAATAAATCTTCATCAAGGAATAATATGCTTATTCAAAGCACTATTTATAATAATGATAACATTTACATAGTGCAATAATAACATTCGTATCCGTATGTTATTCTTAATATGTTATTCTCAGTTAACACTTCACAGACAACCCATTATGTATATATATACTTATATATTTATATGTATATATAGATATCTTATAATAAATATGTATGGAATCACACTTTCATCAAGTGAAAAGAAAATCAATGTCAAAATTTTGAAGTATGAAATATGTTCAATCAGTTATCTTCTTCCACACAAAATTTGTAATATTTACGCTAACTACTGTCTTTATTATCAGTAGTAAGAGAAAAAAGAAAATAATATTTTATTCACTTATCCATCTATGGATAGCTTCTAATGTTGTGGTATATCAACATAATTGTTGATCATATTTTAATAATCTGTTTGATGATGATTGACTTGATGCGGTCAAATTGAAATCTGTTTCATTTAATCCCACTGAAGAATCTTCACTAGTTGATGAACCTGAGGATAATGATGCGTATTCACCTTGTAGTTTTACATTTTCGAATGAGGATTTAATATTCATATGATTGGTATTTGCTACAGAGTCATTACAAGTTGAATACCATTCAGTCATTTGACTTTCAATATTCTCCAAACTTCTTCCTTCATTCCCTGTTTGTGTTAAACATTCAGTATTTACTGGGTTACAGTGATTCCACAACAGCTCATAGTTAACATAATCATCGTTATTATTACTATTATTATTATTGTTATTGTTATTATACTGTTGCCTAGTAGCCATACTTGCTTGCCATGCAAAGGCAGCGGCTGCCATTTTCATTGATTCAAGATGTAGGTATTTGTGCGGTGATTGATCCGGCGGTGCATTATACAGGGCATTCTGTAAAACATTGTAAATAAAAATATGTTATCAAGTATTCGTTTTGTAGAGATTTTGTTTGATTAGTTGGAGGATTTCATCATGAGCTGACATCGGTCAGAGAACCACCGAAAAACCGATAGGAAGTACTGGATGTCTGTTTCTTCATAGTTTGGGACTCTTCACAGTACGCACCCACTGCATGGGGTTCGAACCCAGGACCTTCTGGTTACAAGGCAAGCTCGTAGACCCGGTGGGTGCGTACTGATGAAGAGTCCCAAACTAGGGTGAAACAGCTGTCCAGTACTCCCAGGTTTTCCAATGGTCCTCTAACTAATGTCAGCTCATGATCCTCCAAACAAAAATATATCAGCTTTGCTTCAAACTGACTAAAATATAAATGAAATTTTATAAATATAACTCTACTACCACTGGAATATTTGCATTCCCCATAACCTTTGATTTTGAAACATATTTGACAATATACTAAAACAGTGAGTTAATCGTAGGATTTGTACAACCTTATAATTTTCCATCACACCAAGCCATAAAGTTATCTGTTTCCACAAATCAGTCATCAACGTTTGGCGAATTTATGCACAACTTCAGCTGTACAACAGCCTGAAGTTTACCTTGAAAGCTGAAAACACCTAATGTGTGACAGCATATCCTCAGTACTGCCCAAAGTGTTTATAGGGAATTCACAAAATTAGAAACGATTGTATATACGGAGCAGAAGACTGTTGAAGTGATGAGTTCCACTTGGTCAGTACGTGTATCCATTAGCTCCTAGGTGACAGTTCTTCGACTATTTTTATTTTGTAAACAACCAATTTCAAAGTATTGTAGAGTACAAAATACTATAACAGATGTGGCAATCAGTTCAGTGGTATTTGTAAAAGTTTATAAAGGTTATTAATTACAACAATCTCTGTTAAATAGAATCTATAAATAATATCTGAGGTTATTCCAGAAGTAAACTTGATGAGTTTATGGTGATTAGTGTCACACTAGACATATTTATGCAACTGTTTGTAGAGTTTCGTGACTGTGAGTCAGTTATTGAAATGGTTAGGGGGACTAATACAACCCTATGTAAAGATTCATGTAAACGCTTCTCTGATATCAAATGACATTTGAAACAGTAATACGAATGAAATCAAATAGACATCAGTAACCTAAAGTTAACGACCCACTAAAGGACATTGCAACTAAATTGAATAGGGAAGTGATTAGTCTAAAATATTGTTGTTATTATTATTGTTGTTATTGTTCCTTTGGGTTCTGAGTAGAACATAAGGCTTTAACAACACATCTCCACTTGGTCCTGTTCTTTACGATCCTCTTCAGCTGGCCCTACAAATGCCCATAAACTTTTATCTCCTCCTCCATGTTACCCCCGGATCCACGCCCAACTCATCGTTTCGCCTTCGAGTTGCACTCGAACGATGACCGGAAATGCGCTCGATGTCATTCGACAGTCTCCTCAGACTGTGCCTTATCCATCTCCATTTTCTCTTGCATATGTATCGGGCAATACGTTCTTGGTTGGTCTGTCCCCACAGTTTCTTCTTGCTAATTCTTTCTGTCCATTTGATCTTCAATACAGAGCGAATTAGAGTCTCTGACCCATATAGAAGAACTGAGTGACTTAACACTTGTGTTGAAAAATCCGAATTCGGTTCTTTATACTGCAGGGTGTGGAAGATTTCTAAACTAATTTCGAAGTGATAAAGGCCTGGCTTGCCCCTCCAATTCTGGCTGGCTTTGATATCTCCAGCTTATACATGAGGTGAATTCAGTCGAACGGTAACTAAACAATACCTTTAAGGCCTTATTATTATTAAACCTCTGGATATAAAAGTTTCTGAATACTACATGAAATAATAAAGAATCTCTGAATATTTGATGATATTTGATAGTTGGAGGCAATCGGAAGGAAGCCTTGGACCTAGGTTTAGTGCTAGTTAGCACTCATCAGCAGGACGTATCTGCAACCTTGAAGGAACTCATGTCCCTTCTGAGATTCGAACCTGCGTCACCTCGTGAGTACCACAGTCAGAGACGTTACCACTAAGCTATTCGGGCTCGTGGCTGACCTCCTGTAGGACTGTAGTGGGTATTTTCATTGGACACTAGTAACTAGTGTGACGTGTCTAGTCTTTTCTTTGGTACAGACTGGTGCTGATGAGTGCCAACTAGCACGAAACCTAGGTCCAAGGCTTCCTGCCGATTGTCTCCAACTATCAAATATCATCAAATCACTGTGCACCGTGATGGTGAGCTACCTAGAATAGTGGCCACATTGCAAATACCTGACTGATAGAATTCAGTCTGCACCAAAGAAAGGACTAGACACGTCACACTAGTTACTAGTGTCCAATCAAAATCTCAGAATATACCTATCAAATATTTCATTGCTACAATTAATTTTCTGATTATCAAGTCACAGTGCTAAAAAGTAACTGTCCTCATAAAAAGGCATACAACTCTTCTCATGCAACTAAACTGTGTGCCTGAAGATATTCTGGTTGACTAAAAAGTGTTCTAGGCACACTCTGAGTGCTGGATTCGTCAGCCGGTGATTGTGGTGAAGAAAAAGAATGAGAATTATTTATCAATGAATTATTTGTTTCGAAATCACTAACTTTTGATTTATTATCCCATAAATTTGTTTTCAAATTTTCCTCATTTACCAAAAAAGGCTGTTCAGAGCATTCATTACTCTTAGCGTAGAATGATGACAGATAGGCTGGTATATCTGGATTACTAAAAGGAGGTAAATTTTCGTTCAGTTGAACTTCACCAGTTAGAATTTCTGGATTTTGACTACTTATGCCACAGGACGTCTTTGTGTTCATCTCAGCCATCCCTGATTTCAATAGATGCTTCCATTGTTCGCTATTCCGATGACAATTCACAGAGGAGAGATCAACTGTTTCGTTTTGATGCAATTCTAGAGGAGGCTGGTAGGCATGACATGAATTACCATAATTTATATCTGTTCTTTGTTGATGTAAATCAGTTCTTGCTGCGGTGCTTTCGTCAACCTTTTTAAAGGAAAGCAAAACAATTCTGGATGATAAAATATGAAAGGAGAGAAGAAACTTAACTGGAATTCTATTTAATCTGGGTTTTTTTAAATAGCTAAAATTAAATGCCGGAAAATCTAGAAGAGTCCAAGATTGGAGCCTTGAAGTTTCACTAAACATGATGTTGTTTTCACAGTGTGGGGTTGCTGGCCTCACGCCTAACCTTCCTTTTTTTCCATACTTAATTCAAATAAGGCATAGGAATGCATCAGCGGGAAGTAGGGCCTTGAACTGTGTATGTGATTGGAGAGAATCCTACCACCGTACAACCGATGCATATAGATACGTATGTACTGCTGCTTCACCAAGCATTAGAAGGACTCATCAGTAGGATAAGTTGTTCTTGAAACTGCCGGCCGCATCAGTGTTTACTCTCTATCTCTCTCTACATATAGTGTTGGAGCTATGGATAAGGAATTTTTCAAACCTTTGAGTTTATGATTATTAAGCCCTGATGTTCCTCTACGTCTTTTTCTAACTAAAACTGTGTCATCTAAGAAAAAGAAGTTACCAAAAGTTACTGTATTGATCAAGATGTATCACGGATTCACGTCAGTTAGAAAACCGTTGGAAACCAGGGAGTAATGGACAGCTGTTCTGTCCCAGTTTGGGATTCTTCATTAGTACTCACCCACCGGGGTTCCAACCCGCTAAGTACCTTCTAGGACTGGCTTGAGGACGAATACTTGCCTCTGATGACACTGGCTGGTGGTCACACTAAATTCACGAATTGATAGAAGTTAGATTTCATGGGTCGGCCATTGGATTGGATCCCAGTGGCTGAATGGTCAACAACCTTATCTTGCAACCGGAATACCCTGGGTTCGAGCCCCACTGGACGTGTGTACTGATGAAGAGTCCCTTAAATAGAATGAAACAGCTGTTCAGTAACCCCTGGTTTCCAATGTTCCTTTAATTAACATCAAGCCATTATCAAATTTTGACGACAGAACAACTAGATTTGCCACTCAACGGTGCCCTCCATTTATCTGAGTCATTCTGTGTTCCCATCTTTCTACAATATGTGTATCTCTCTGAATGTTAGTTTAAGAAAACGAAAAAAGTTCCTACATTTTGATCATGACTGTGTATTTGATTAATGGAGTTATATATATAATCATTATTATTCTAACCATTTTGATCTATCCACCTATCTATCCATCTGTAAATTTAGGCTTAGTGT